CCGACATGGAAAATATATAACAATTCACTAGAGAAAACGAAGTGTCTACAATAACAAAGCAATTTACGAAAATTCAAATATGACGGACATGAACCAACAGCAACCACTGAATTGCAGGCTCCTGACTTGAGACGGGCACATAAAGAATGTGACAATGTTAAATATTTTTAGGCGCTCATTACCACCACTAGCATGGGACATTGGTGTAACGGCATAACAATAAAAAACAAACTTTAAACATAATTTGAAAATAGTTCATTTCGGTTTAATCAGGCTGACTGTACATGAAATATTTGCCATTGACAAGCAGTTGTGAATCGAAGTTGAATTTACAGAAAGGTGACATCAATATATGCTATCATATTTAACATTCTTGTTTAGATCTGACATTGCTACGTATTTATACATTCCGCATTATTTTTGGCTTCTCAGAATTTTCACATGGTAAACTGTCAGCAGTTACCCAACAAAAAATGTTATAGGGAACCTATTTACAAAGCATCATGCCGACAACAATTAACATTGTTTGTCACCCAACATTGAACAAGCACATTTATATTTGCTGTGGCTAAAAAAACTAAAGCAAATCACAACTCTTTTCGTCTGAGTTGCTCAATTATTAGGGTTACAAAAAGCATAGCGATATAACTAAAACATACGACACTTTAACAATAGACAATATTCAAATTTTCAAAAACTTTACGGCTCTGTATTGAAGCACAAAATTTCTTGTCTGGGATTTTGAAAGAGGGCACATGTTTCTGGTGTTGAAAAAATATCATCGTAATTTACACTAATGTGGTTCTATTTATGTTAACATAGAGATAATTTGATTATTCAGTCACGTAATTTTGAAGCTTCTTCGTTCTGATTTACATGCACTTGCGGTTGATGCTTCTTTTGGAGTTTTTGCAGTCTTTGCAGCAGGGGCGTATAGTCATCCTCAGATTCAATATCTGATGCAGTATATTCACCACGTAAAAGATCAAGATTGAGATCACTATCATCCCAAGATAAAAAAATCAATGTTACTGGACATTGTGAATTGAAAAATGAAAATGCCGGCGATATTTTGGGAACATATATATATAATTTGTAGGGCTTATGTTTGCTTTATGTATCCATTGAAGTTATAACCTCTTTGCTGATCTGTTACGTAAGGAAATTACTCATTTACCTTTAATGAAATTTTTCCCCACTTCTGTGATCGCCGATTATTACATTGTTTGCAAAAACTTGACCTAATTATCAGACGGAAATTTAAAAAAAAGTGTGTGTGTGGGTGGGTGGGGGGTTGAAACCAAAAAAAATTGTTTGAAAAATAAAATTTACGTTGGATAATCTGAATGAGGGTCTGGATGGGGGTTCTTTATTTCCTATAATTTCTATGCCATTTTTCTCTATTCTTTAAATCTTAATAACTTATTATTTTCTCTTCTCGATTCTTTATTTGTCGGTCCATTTTTCTCCATTCTATACTTTTTTTGCCCCTATTTCTTCATTCTATAAAACCCAGTCCACACCCTCCTGAATCCTACCACAAGTGCACCGACGATATTTGACAAGGTCTACTACAATAAACATGTATATTAGGCACTCAGCAGTGAAATACCTTACAAGTATAGAATAAAAGTTTACTGCAATAAACGGAGCCTCGTGTACCTTGGGCACCCAGCTGTGAAACAAAATTCATCTCCCATGCTTTTGAGACAACCTGTCTTTACAGGTAAAATATTTGTATATTAGATACAATTAACGGACATGTAGCAAAACAATGTAACTGTAAGATTGATAAGATTAATCACATTCACAATTTCAAGAGTGGCCGCATAATAACAAACTATTAACAAATTATTAATGATTAAAAAGAAAATTTAAATATGAATAGAGATAACTACATTTGAAAGATAAAAACTATATTCTTTTTTTTTTTGATTAATTCAATTTTGTTTTTAAATTATTTTTAAAAGAAAAATAATAATATCCGATACTGTTATAGTAGTCTCAGTGATTTGGTGATACATTTGTATATGTCGTCTGCTACGGTCGAATACGAAACTACGTTAAAATAACATAGCTAACTACCGGAGACTCAGATAATCCGATAAATCAATAGTGACCAATCTCTGTGTTATAGTAGTCTCAGATTTGTGCCAATAGCATGGGAAATAGTATAAATATTGGTAACATATTTTTACTTAAACCTACGTCCCAAAATAAGTTTCGGTTCTCTAACTTTAGTTTGCCTCAACCAAATGTTATGAACTTATACACAATGCTTATTACCCCAAAACACAGGTCAAGTTTGAATTTGGTGGCATCACTTTTACCTTTCTAGAGTTAGATGCCCCTTAACAAATGTAAAAATTGCTGAATTTTTTGTTTCTGTTCTCTAACTTAAGTTTGCTTCAACCAAATGTTATGAATCTTACACACAATGCTTATTACCACAAAACACAAATCTAGTTTGTATTTTGGTGGCATCACTTTTACTGTTCTAGAGTTATGCCCCTTTACAAATGGAAAAGTTGCTGAATTTTTGTTTCTGTTCTAGAACTTAAGTTTGCCTCAACCAAATATTATGAAACTTATACACAATACTTATTACCACAAAACTCAGATCAAGTATGAATTTGGGTAGTGTCACTTTTACTGTTCTTGAGTTATGTCCCTTTATAACGTTATATGCAAGCAGGGGTATCATCTGTGTCCCATAGACATATTCCCCATTTATTTTAAAGAGCATCAATAATCTAACAATGTGAAAAATAACAAAATTATAGTCACCATAAATATTGATTTTTATATGACCACGGGGGATAATCCAAAGAAATCCATTTATAAAAACAGACTTCAAAATTAGTTTGGGGTGTTATATTCTTTGTACTAGAGGTAACTCATCAAAATTAAACAAATTTTATATTGTCATGATAAACTTGTTTGTATGAAATAATTCTACACGTATTTTTTGTGACCTTTAACTTTTAAGAAAAGTGACAGTTCAATGTTTTTTTTCAATTTAATTTTTGATGAAAGGCTGGTGTTATCACTAAATTTGACATGATTTCTTAGACTGTCAAAATGTAGTGAAACTTAGTAAAACTGAAATTTACAATGTACAGTTCACACTGGATTTAAGGACCAAACACTGAAGAATATAATCTTACCACAAAACTATGATGTAACAAATGCATGTCATAAGGCAAAAAAAAAATATGCTTGTTTCCGGCCTCCAAGTCGAAAAAATAGGGTGGGTAGATGGGAATTTTATTTTATCTTTTTTAACTGGGATACAGGTGAAATTCAGAACAGAGGATTCTCAAAACAAATACCGAATGAGCATCAATGAACTTTTTTGAAAGAAGAAAGCTACATACATCATTTTTATTTCAACATTTATTTGTTAATTTTCTAATTCAGTGATGGACGTTTAGCCTAAAACACCAGATGTGTTTTAATATTGCTAAGACACCTGGACATGTCAATTTAGGTTGCATAATTATAACATTTATTTTCCCTTTAATAATATATTTTATATAGCTAACTGGCATGACTGGTATCAACAGATTGAAAAAAAAATTGATATTTTGGTAGCTAAACAAGAAGAACTGTTGAAAATAAACATGTTGGAGTTAAATCAATTGTTCGAGATGTGCTTTTTCTTTTCTGACAGATTCAGACACTTTTTATTCTAATTTCCAAGCTGCATGAACAATAAAATCAGAGAATCGTATCAGAATTGTGTACAAAACGAAAAAGCAAATGTATTATAACTTTGTGGCTCAAATAAAATACTGCATTAAAAAAAAAATGATGCAAATGCAGAACACCCCTTTGGAAGATGCACACATACATGTATATGTAGATACACCCTTTTTGAAGATGCACACATACATGTATATGTAGATACACCCCTTTTGAAGATGCACACATACATGTATATGTAGATCTAGAAGCATCATTTTTATTTACTATTAGATAAGCTTTAAATGATGCTTAATCTTGGAAAGATCAAATTACTTTAGATAATATTTGTCAAGATTATCAGGTATTGGATTTGGATTGATTGATTGATTGAGTTTGATGTTTGCTTTACACAGCATCAGCGCAATACAGCTATACTGCGACTTTCAGGTAATGGACCCGCAGGACCCATACATTTACTTTTTTTAATCCTTCAGCTCTTATAATACTAAAACTTCCTTGTATGTATTTAACATTATTGGGTGTTATTTAAGAAAAAAACGTAAGATCCTGTTGCACTGAATATAAACATGATTATTAGCTCATTACAAATATGAAACTTTACATCTTTTTCAAGTTATTGGTAACAGCTACATGTTTTATAAAAAGGTAAATAATTTTTTTTTTTTGTATTAAAGAAAAACAATTTAGAAATGAATGTGTATGTTGATAATGTTTGATATTATAAATTGAAATCTAATTTTGATGTTTTACACTGCAAGAAAAGCACAAATGTTTATACATATATATATATGCAATCTAATTAAAATTAAATCTCCGCACTCGCTCATTTTTTTTATGCAGCGAACAAGCATAAAAAAATGAGCGAGTGCAGAGATTTAATTTTAATTAGATTGATGCATATGTGTCTTCTAGTTAACCTAGGCCTTGAACCAGACATGGTTTATGAGATTAACTTTTTTATTTCCATTGATCGGTCATTTGGCTGGAGAGATTGAAGATAAATTCTTGCATCATATCACACACAAATTACCAATTGATTTGAATTGACATTTTAAAGGAAAAAAGGAGACATGGATAGCAAATAAGCAATCATTATATACATATTAAATAAGAAGATGTGGTATGATTGCAACTTTCTACCAGAGACCAAATGACATAGAAGTTAACAACTTAGTAGAATAGAGACTGGAAACGTGCTAGTGTATACAATAATTCAAGTACTATGAGTACTGTGAATTTAGTCAAGAATGTAAAAGTAACTGGTAGTTACATTTTTATTTCTTTTTTTTCAGGCTGAAATTGATTATTGAAGAATTATACATGTAGTAAAGATTCTAAAGTTTTCTAAGGTAATCCATAACTTTTTTATACATTGTTTCTTATCAGTTTACGACTTTAAATACAGAGATGTGGTATGATTTTTGACGAGTCAACAATCCAACAGAGTCCAAATGACATTGATTAATACAATTATGGGTCGTCCTACAGCCTTCAACCATGAGCCAAAACCATACTGTATGGTCAGCTATAAAAGGCCCTGACATGACAAAATGTGAATCAATTCAAATGAAAAAAAAAACACGGCCTAATCTATAACAAAACATATAAACTGTAAACAGATATAAATATATATATATGCAATTTAAATGTTATAATCAGGGATAAGGCATCATATAAATTGCATGATATATATTCTGTTTTGAAAAAAAAAAAAAAAAAAAAAAATGATTATCTCCCTTATACCATAATAGAGAAATTGTCTTTTGGATGATTTTATGTAATTTTGCTTGCCCTTTAATTGTAACTCAGAAACTGTCTCATTTGTATTGGAGTTTGAAGTTTTGATGATAAGAATTTTATTAATTATTGCCTTATAGCATGTATAGTGAAAATTATGAAAGAATTAAGGAAATTCTGCTTGATTTCTCTCAATTACTAACATCTATTCTTACAGCAATTTAAGTCCTGGGTCAGAGATACTTGTATCTTAAAATCACATACTCTTGGGGGCAATATGAAAAAATTGCATGCTAGAAATTTTAGAGATCTGTCCTAATATTTACAATTAAAGTTCCTCTCCTCGTGCAATAGATAAAAAATTACTTCTCCACAATTTAAACAAGTATTCCTCATTTTAAAGTTAGACATATTATAGATAAGCTCAACTTTGTTTCAATAGAACAATGGCCATTGTAAACTATGCAAAAATCCTGTTATAGGAAGAGACGAATTATACATGTACCTTATACAAAAAATTCACTCTTATTCAGACAAAAAGTGATTTGAAATTGACATCTGCAAGGTCATGAACAAAAAAATCAGAAGTGTATTTAATTTCTGATACAAAATCCCTACCTGTATTTAACAAATTCCAAAGCAAAGTAACTGTGCTTTTATTGCTGTTCTTCATCTTAAAAGTTAGCTGACATCTAATGGTAAGTGTGGCTTCTTGTGCAAAAATCTTTGATAGATGTCTATATAGATCTTACATTTTTGCACTGAAGAACACGGATATATATAGAATAATGGCATTTTTGTTTTTGATACTGACTTTATCAGCAAGAATATCAAGTGAGCCTGCTCGGGCGAGCTGATATTGGAGCTGATGAAGTCAGTATAAAAAAAACCAAAAATGCCATTATTCTGTTTATCGGCAGTTTGTCTTAACTGTATGATTTTTTGGTTGAGAATATGAAGAAAAATGAAATAGTTAGTAAAACTACTTAAATGCGTACAAAATGTTGGGATAGTTGTTAGGTTGTATGAATGAAGTCGCATGCATTTCATTGATAAACTGACGCGGATGGACTTGAGCACGCCATGTTGCTGCTCTGATACATGACATCATTGCCTAATATTTTCGTATATCAAATCCTGTCCATGATCTTAAAAATATAAGGCCGTAAGATCAAAGGGAAAATGTACAAATTGCTGATAAATGGGATAATATCAACAATTGGCAGACTGTACCAAGCAAAGAGATGCATGACAATCTCATTGTAAAATACAAAGGAAGAAACAAATGTTTAGAAAATCTTGGTGAACTTGACAATTTTTGTTAACTTGGCAAAAAAAATAATAAATATGGCAAAGAATTCAGATGTACTATATTAGAAATGAAATTGCATGTGAACTTGCTTGAAATTAGTTAATGTATCCTCGTATTATGGGTTTTTGTGCTATTTAGAATGCATTGTGACATCATATTAATTTCGATTGAAAAAGCATGCATAGTACATTGTAGTACGAATTCATATGACAAACAAAAAACATATGATCTTTAAAATAATGTTGAAGCCCCTAGGTTGACAAACACTAAATTGTTCCTTGTAAGAAGGTATGATGTTTGTTTGTCCGCACTATCAAGAATTGACAATCTGGTACAGAATGAATACCAAAAGATTTTCATACCATAAAATTTACTCTCCTTTTCAAATGCATTAAAACATTTAAGATGGCAGAAATAACACCAATACCAACCAAATGTTTATCATAGGTCTATACATTTGTTCTTACTTCGGTTTCAGTCCAATTAACATTTTCTTAATCACCCCTAGTTATGGATCACCCCTGGTTATGGATCACCCCAGGTTATGGATCACCCCTGGTTATGGATCACCCCTGGGTTCGTGTTGCTTAGTCTTGAGTTTTCTATGTTCTGTTAAGTAGACTTTTTTTTTATATAGATTAGACTGTTGGTTTTCCTGTTTGAATTGTTTAACACTAGTCATTTTAGGGCCTTTTATAGCTTGCTGTTTGGTGTGAGCCAAGGCTCTGTGTTGAAGGCCGTACTTTGACCTATAATTGTTTACTTTTTACACATTAATCATTTTGACTTGGATGGAGAGTTGTCTCATTGGCACTCATACCACATCTTCTTATTTCTATTTTGTTATTCTTTTAGTCATTTTTCCTTTCATATTGCCATGACATTGTTAGTTTGACATATGAGTTTGAATATATATCACTTTAGTATCTTCCTCCTCTCTTCTTACATGAGTTTGAATATATATCCCGTATGTTCCTCCTCTCTTCTTACATCACTGTTTATTAGTCCCCTACCGAAGAAGTCAAAGGGGACTTTAGGTTTGCACTCTGTCCGTCTGTCCATCTGTCAGTCTGGCAAATCAGTTTTTCCACACTTTTTTTCTTCGTGCTTGAAGATATTGATTTGATAATTGGTATACAGTTTTATCATGACAAGTTACAGATCAAGTTCCAATTTTGTTCAGGTCTGATGATTTCGTGGAGAGCTATGGTCCTTGGACTTAGAAAATTCACTTAAATAAGCAGTTTTCCACACTTTCTTTCGTCATGCTTGAAGATATTGACCTGATATTTGTTATATAGTTTACACCATGACAAGATAATAGATCAAGTTATATAGCCTTTTGTTCCAGTACAATGAATTTTTAACCGGTAAGGGACTATGTATTGCCATGCAATACTCTCAGAATGCTTGTTCATATTGAAATTAAAAATGTTAAACTGGTTAAATCCTTCAACATTTTGTGCATGTACTTATAAGCTTTCCTTACAAGGATCTGAAAACGTCTTGTTTTTCTTTCTATTTTAAGGACCATTCAGGATCCTCTGGTTTTATTGGATATATACACACCTTCAAAAATTGGAAGGCTGTTATTTTATTGGCTGATGTAATTATTACCAGATCAGAAAGTGAAACAGAGTGCTGTCTGATCCTTGTAAGCAAAGCTTGGATACAGGATCTGTATTTTTACATGTATAATCAGATTGTGTACTAAGTCACTGGGCAGTGGTTATTCCGACCATTTGTTGTTTGTCATTGTTTGAAGGTCCTTTTTCCTGGGGGAGTCAGATGTTTATAGTTGGTGTGAAATTAGCAGGGGCCCACTCGCCATTGGCCCCTAAAATTTGGTGTGGGCTACTTAAATTTCTGCATTTTTTGTATAGGACTATATGTGTGGGCTACAAAATTTAAGCTGTGGGCTACCATGCCAAAATTTTAACTTCAATCCCTGGGTGGTCTGTTTTACATGTTGTAATGACCTGAGTATTTTTGGTTATCCCTGTCATCCTATTTTGTTTTTCTTGATGACTTCTTTCATGATGTGTTTCTTTGATGGTTTGCTGTTGTTTTTTTTTTTGGTCATATAAAGACACCTTTTTAACTTGAATATTAGTAATATGAAAAGAATATAATATTTTATTTTATATGGATAATACTGTTGAATAAATTACAGTGTAACAAATCATAATAATGTTATTCCATTTCTATTGAAAGTTTTCACAGGTTTACCGAATTCCGTCATTTCCAAAACAGCAAAGTAATCCAGCACACCCTTCGTGTGAAAACTTTGAGTGAACATGAGGTCCCTGATCTCCAGCTATAGAATTTCTGCTATCTCCATTCCTGTTGAAATGAGGGAATCGTAATGGCCGATTGAAATTTGGTACAGAATTGATTTTTTCTAAATTTGAAGAGTTGGTTGCAGGTCCTATACTTATAGGGATTTCCATTGTTAATTTTCCACTGCATAATTTGAATTTAATGCTTAAAAATATAGTGTATGTCACATGTAATGTCCGACATCCTGGAAGAATGCTGGGTAGGAAAGTAACTTGCGTAGGCATATTTATGTTATAACTCATTATTTTTTCTTTACTATGTCGTGACTTAACACCTTGAGGATTTCTATCCTTAACTGAGATTACAGTGTATGTTGCTCGAAATTTATTGGCAAGAACAGTAATTTTTTGTACCAGCTCACAAGAAATACTTTTGATTTTACGGGAATATTTGTTTTGTGTCTCTAGATGTACAATGATATTGTCACCTGCTAAGTAGCATGTGCGATCTAGACTCATATCTATTATTGCAACTCCCGAACATGATAATTGAATGTCTTCAGTATGAATAATTGGCATGAGACCCATGGGTACAGAGTGAATATCAAATGGCCTTCGTACTGTAAAATTTAGTCTCCTTGATAGGAGCACCTTTACTAGAGTATTCAAAGAATGATTGCTTCTTGCTGAAGTGGATCCTACTTCATCACAAATCCGAACTTTTAACATATATATTATCTCTGCACCAAATCCATTTCTATTGTCCTCATATTGAACTGTTGACGGTATTCCAGATGGAAGCAAAAAGCGAAAGCTTGATACATAATGTCCAGGAGTTATGAGTGAAGTCCATCTTCCATCTGGTGTCCCAACCATATACTTTCTTTTACATAGAAATTTGTCAACTTTTGTTTTTTTATTCTTTGTTATATTATTAATGGTAGTGATAGCACAGTGGCCGATAACTTGAAATTCAATGAATCTTATTTCTAAATTCCGTGTGACATCATAAACAACACGACCAGAAATCTCCTCACCAGGGGAATATCTATGATTGATATGCTTATCAACTTCTATTCCAAAATGGTGGACTAAATGTTCCTTTCGTTCTGTTCCCCCTCGTCTAAATGCAAGTGTTCCTGGTCTAGGAGTATGACCATGTGGAAGATGTCCATTTGGAATTGCACCATTCCAAGATTTATAAGCTGGTTGGTTTCGTCTTCCAGTCATTGTGCCCATAGAAGATGGCACCCCCCGTATGGTGCCCTCGTGACCAGGATGATAACTGGTAGTTGGTACACTTCCAACAAATGACGGAGCTCCTCTAGACCTTGTTGTACCATGTCCAGAAATTATAGATGGGGCACCTCTGAGGGAGTTATGTGACCTTGGTGAGGCTTTGTTATCTTCAGGAACCGTTATGTATTTTGCAAACTTCCCTTTGGAGCCTCCATCTCTATATTTAGCAGCTCTGGGACTTATTTGTTGTCCGCCATTTGTGGTATTTTGGCGATAGCGAGTTTTTTCATCACTAGGATCCAATCCAGTGAGGTCTAATTCTATCTTTTCAATGTCATCCGTAAGGTCCATTGTTTGTCCCACAGGACTTACACTCCCCTGGGTCTCTACAAGACTGTTATCTTTGTATTGGCTAGGTCCCATATTTCTTTATTAAATTTAGAGTCCATCTGAAAAATAAAAAGAATGAACTCTTCAATTTCTTCACATACTTGTAGATCTTGATTGTTAGCAATATATTAATCTATCAATACGATCAACAAAACAAATACCATAGTAATGCAAATCAATGCTCTTAGATTACTATCAGATGAAATTTCTAAGTTTTAAAGTGTATTATTAACTGGGAATAATTTATTTTCGTGAATACCAATTTTCTAGATGTTTGATTTCATGGTTTTGCCAAAGTCTGCATACAAGCCTAAAGAAAATTTGTCTTAAGTTGAACATTTAAATTTGTACTTCAACTTTACCCACAAAGTCAAAATCCAAGAAAATTGGTATCTCAAGAAATATAATGAATCGACAGTACATATATGTATATTTGTACTAGCCCAGTGAACAGTTCATGGGAACATGGTAGAAATTTAGCAAAAGATTAAGGTTGGCTCCTGCATAAAACTGGTTTCAAATGCAATGTCAAACTGTCCTTCTGTTAATGATTATTTTTTATACGCAGTTAAACATTAACGATGACAGGAAACCAAGTAAAAGTCAAATGAACATGCCACCATTTTCATCTTCTATTAAAGTAGCTTATTATCTTTTCAAACTTTAATTTTAATTTCAGTTTCCAGGTCATTAATTTTTTACGGCCTATTTTTCCCAACAATTTGAAAAAAACATTAATTTTTTAATTTCGCATTCCAAGCCATTGTTTGCCTTGTTGAACTCTCTAATGTTCTTTAGATGGATAAATACGGTTTAAATACGGTCGAGGCATTTATTTGTGAGAACCTAATTTCAGTAATTGTTATTTTAGCTTGTCAGAAAATTTATTTTACTTCAAGCAAAAAATAACATTTGTATTTCAAATTTTGAGTTTATCCATTTTTAATTACATTTTTCAATTAAAGCTAGAATAAACATTTGGAGTAGATAGAATGTTTTTAGTATATCCTAGTCATTCTGAAAATCTAATACACTTTCAGGATTAAAGGTGGCACAATTGAAGGTTTAAATTGCATTTTAAGGCCAGGCAAATGAATTCTTTGAATTTTATATGATTGTGGAATGTTGACTGCATTTTTTTTTTATTTATTGATTAATAATTTTACACATTTGAAATACATTTTCAAGGCAAGACCAAATAAATTTGTATTTGGCAAAACCTTTCATAATTTGGATCCTCAATGCTCTACAACTTTGTTCCTTATTTGGCATTTTAATTGTTTTATTCAAGCATCACTGATGAGTCTTTTGTAGACGAAATGCATTTCTATCGTACAAAATTAAAAGCCTCAGGTATCTTTGATGAAATTTTTGTATTATTTTATACTTGATAGTTGACCATACCAGTATTATTTTATACTTGATAGTTGGCCATACCAGTATGATTTTATACTTGATAGTTGACCATACTAGTATAATTTTATACTTGATAGTTGACCATACCAGTATTATTTTATACTTGATAGTTGACCATACCAGTATTATTTTATACTTGATAGTTGGTCATACCAGTATTATATTATACTTGATAGTTGACCATACCAGTATTATTTTATACTTGATAGTTGACCATACCAGTATTATTTTATACTTGATAGTTGGCCATACCAGTATTATATTATACTTGATAGTTGACCATACCAGTATTATTTTATACTTGATAGTTGACCATACCAGTATTATTTTATACTTGATAGTTGGCCATACCAGTATTATATTATACTTGATAGTTGACCATACCAGTATTATTTTATACTTGATAGTTGACCATACCAGTATTATTTTATACTTGATAGTTGGCCATACCAGTATTATTTTATACTTGATAGTTGGCCATACCAGTATTATTTTATACTTGATAGTTGACCATACCAGTATTATTTTATACTTGATAGTTGGCCATACCAGTATTATATTATACTTGATAGTTGACCATACCAGTATTATTTTATACTTGATAGTTGGCCATACCAGTATTATTTTATACTTGATAGTTGACCATACCAGTATTATTTTATACTTGATAGTTGACCATACCAGTATTATTTTATACTTGATAGTTGACCATACCAGTATTATTTTATACTTGATAGTTGGCCATACCAGTATGATTTTCGTTGATGTATTATGAAGAAAATAAATATAAATCTGTGGACTCAAAGCTTTTGAGATACAAGCGTTTAAAAAAATTGGAATTTTGGGGTGGGAATAAAATGTCTCAGGATTTTTTAGTATGAAATAACAAAAATCTTAAAATATTTTGCCAGAAATGTATTCCATGTAAAATTTTTAAAAAGTTTTAAAATTATTGGGATAATAAATACTGGGCAAAATTTTAAATTCTAGGAATCCAGCGATGTTACAATAAATTAAAGTTAATCTTACATCCTTAAAAATGGAAGCAGGAAATAAAATATGCTTATCCTAAAATTAAAAAATTGAATGAAAAATATTTATTTTACTTAATATGGTCAACAATAGAATTTAAATATATCAATTTATTTCTACTCAAGTAGAACTAACATAGTATTAGGAAAAATTAAATGAAAGTCATGCATACCGTTATAAGGTTGTATTAAATCTGCTTAAGTTAATTGAAAACATGTAAATATGTGTATGCACCTGTATGCAGGTAGACTATGGTGTCATGCATCACCTATTACAAGTCATTTTGTCCTTGACGTAAAATGTTTTTTCCATGAAAATATGTTTGCATTTTAACGAAGTTTGAACTGCCATAGAGAATTAGAGATACATTATTCATCCTTCAATGGGCATTTGGCTGTGGGAGAATTCACATGACAGATAAGTCTCTGTGACGTTTGTTATAATGTATTGATCAAGATAGAAATTAGAGAGAGTTTAATAGTACTTCAAAAACTTAGATAGTTTAACCCTGCCACATATTGAGGGGTCTGAAAGGGGGTTCTTCATTTCTATATTCTTTAACTTTTATGCCATTTTTCTCTATTCTTTGTTTCATTAGCCATTATTCTCTATTCTATAAATTTTGCCCTTTTTTTTTCTCTATTTCTTTAATTTTCGTCTATATGTATCTACTGTGGGTTTCGTGGGTACATGTGAACCAGGAATTCAAATGTTCAACGAATAACATATTTCAATAGACTTTGTATACAGAGATTGGCAAAGCCACGAAATCAAATATCAATCCACGAAAATTGATACCCACGAAAATAAATGAATCCACAGTATTCTGTGCAGACCCTCATATTGTAGATTTGTCTTTCCAAAGTTATATTATGAACCTCATCAGTTGTTGCCTTTGTTAAATTTTTAGAGATATCAAATATGAATAAGACAGCAACCCAAAAACATATCAAACAATTTAAGGTTGTACCCTTATGGTCTTTTACAACTGACAAACACCCAACAATATAGCAAGATCCAACCCAAATGTGCACAAGTTGTAAATAATTCACCATAGAGAAAATATCCCATTAAAATCAATGGATAAAAAATGTAGATACTATTGCTGTAACAAGCACTGATGAATTTCCTGACTTAGGACCAGGGCTGTTATTAGTAAAACCACTTAAGTAAAGATTATTATAATCCAATCATAGTACTAATTTATCGTTCGGAACAAATCTTATTAACTTAAGTAGTTTTATGCATATCAGCTCTGTTGTACTGGAACAATCAGTTCATAGAAAATCAAACACCAAGTCCCAGATTGACATTGATTTATAGGGGAAAAGTTGTAAAGTTAATTCATAATTGCTTCAGTTTTATTTCATTTCAACATTTTTTGTTTCATTTTTTTGAAGTTTACAAAGTAATCAATGTCAAGTTTCGTGGCAAAAATACATGTATATGAGTTTTGAAATGTTAGTTTATGCTTGGCATGTACCTACATATAGTTTTAAATGCTTAGGTACGGTAACCAATTATTCCATGGCAGCTTCACGATGTCATTAATTATGAATGTGACTAAGTTATCCACCAATGTCTATTCATTGAAATTGTTACATATCGTTTTCAATTCTTCCCATCTTTTTAACAGAACTAGTTATTTTCCCACGATAAATAATTTAAAAATTCGACAGAATTACAGATTGGTTTTTCGACAGAGGGAAATATACCTGGTAATTATAAGTTACCGGTAAATCTTGATCTTGATCTTAACCTTTATGCAACATTGTACATTTGCCTCAGTGTCATTATCCCATACTGTGAATTTATTATTTTTTTTTCGGGTACTAATTTTCATGGATCATGTGGATATAGTCGAAACATGATTTTAGTATTCAACAAAATACACATTTTCTATGGGCTTTGAAACAGAATTTGTTAAAATGACAAAATTAGATATCCATGAAATACTATTTTTCAACATTCCATGAATAATCATGCAGGATCCTAGGAAAAACAAATGAATCCACAATTTATTGAAAGAATGATCGATGTATAAAAAAAAATGGTAGAGTTCTTTGGATATTAAAGAATTTTTTTCATGAGATGTATTATTATTCATCTAATGACCAGTGATGAACATATTTGGGCCCACGTCTCTTGTCAATATGCTGGAAACGGGAAGGCCTTTTTATATAGTAACCCTGACTTATTTTCTCACTCACATATCAAGGTGAACTTTTCTGAAATTTGAATATTAAGCTGTCTGAATGCCCTATATGCATACACTGTCAATCATTTGATTTTTCACCAGTTTTACAAAATCATACATTCCTATTTAGGACAATATTGATAAAATATTTCAAATTTCACCTGTTTTTGTAAATTTTGCATTGAATGACACCACACACCATTATAAATTTGCATCAGAAAAGGCTTGGGCAACATATTGCTTTACATTTCAAATTGATAAAATTGTTCCATTTGCATGTTCTCATCATTCATTTTTATGCCCTTGCCGCGGCAGAGGGGGCATTAAGTGTTACCCTTGTCCGTCTGTACGTCCGTCTGTACATCCGTATGTGTGTCCTAAAATTAGTTTCCGTTCTCTACCAAATGTTATGAAACTTGTACACAATGCTATTTACCACAAGAAACAGATCAAGTTTGAATTTGGGTAGTGTCACTTTTACTGTTCTGGAGTTATGCCCCTTTATATATTGAAAATATTTTCGTAACCTTTCTCTAACTTTAGTTTGCCTCACCTAAATGTTATGAAACCTACAAACAATGCTTATTACCACAAAAATCAGATTAATTTCAAATTTGGGTGGTATCACTTTGTATGTTCTCGAGTTATGGCCCTTTGTAACATTATATGGAAGCAGGGGCACCATCTGTGTCCAATGGATACATTCTCTATTTTTTTTATAAATACTCCAAATTTGTCAAAAACAGTAAAAGTTTGAATTTTAAACCATCTGTATGCTTTTGAAATGTGAATAAATGATTTTTCAAGAAATATGTTGCCAGAACCTGAAAGTGCACAAATGAAGCTGTGATACTCAGTGATTTAGACGGAATTCTGGAAGACCAGGCCTTTGTGGTAAAATAAACAGAGGGGAAATTTTCTCTTTTTCATTTAGTTTTGTCATTTGGACAAGAACATTTATTTTATGAATTATTATAATTAATCGGTTACAATAAAGACACAATCACTTGTTGATGTTTTTTTAATAATTTAAAAATCTGCTTATGGATTAAAATATTTCTCTTTTTTTGCAGTGCAAAGATATGTTTTAAAGAATAAGATGAAGAAGTACAGAAAATTGGTGCCATAGCAAGTCGAACAATTAACAGAAAATGTCTAGGTATATATTTTTTTTATGAAAAGAGACGAAAATAAATGAAGAACGGCAGTATAAGCACTGTTCCTTTAATTTATTGTATAGTACACTGGACTTCTTTCTTGGTTGTGCTACTACCATGCACTATAATACAAGTGTCCACTTTAAAAATCATAAGAAATTAAACCCTGCCAGGCAACTAACATAGCCTTTATTTCTTATTTTTAATGTAACAAAAGAATAGGGGTAAAAAACAATTTTCTTCTTCTTTCCTTTTGTGTGACTGCATGCTATAGATTCATTTATTTTCATGGGTACTAATTTTTCATCGATATATGGAAATTTGATATGTTTTTGCAAAAAAAGTTTCAGTATATAAACCTCTAAAAATTCAAACTTTGCTGAACTTTTAAATTTGTGTTTTCACCATACCCATGAAATCAACGAAAATTGGTACCCCATGGAAATAATGAATCCACAGTATTATTCATGTCATTGTCTATAAATATCTAAGGAAGGAAAGCCTTTGAATGCCGAATTGTCCTCAAAGTTTCCATTAATTTAAAGTTTAAAATTTTATAAACAGTTTCAAAGAAAAGTTACGTACTGTAACAATAAGATGCAACTACTAGGGGGTGTTTAACGACCTTGGCTGGCTATTAAGCCCTTGCATGGTCGGTAATAATGCTTTCATTGTACATTGATCTCTCTGAATGCTTATAGAAATTTAAAAGGATGTGAAAAAAGCAAAATGTCTGTAACAATCTAAAGTCTATGTGTTTTTATTAAAAATTCAAATGGCTATGGCTCTCTTTTCAAAAGTTTCCTGAATGACTCAATTTTCAATTCAGTTTCTTGCAAATCTAATCAAAATTTTATTTTTATTTTTTATCTGCTTGAATTTTAAAATCAATAAATCAGTAGCCTTTCATCTTCCCACTATTAAAATTCTTTCTGCTTTGCATATCATGAAATCAATGTAGTGAAATATTCAATAGTAATTTTAGGAGAACAATTGAATAAGGTAGATATTATCCATAAATATTGGAGACAGAATTAAAATCTTTTTTAAATCTATTTAGCATTAAATTGAATTTCTATCTCTTTTGGAATAAATAATTTATAGAATTAATTTTCAAACTCAATGTGTGTAACGGTACAGAAAATTATATTGTACACATTCAATAATTTATAACCTGTGGAAGAATATATATATAATACAAAAATATACTATATTACGTCAAGATTATATATTAAAAAATCAATGTCCATATATATGTACTAGCAAATATTTAACCCGAATAATTCAGTCGTTATATTCCGCTGATCTACGAAGGCTACATTAACGCCTGAACGTCTTCCTCGATAAAGACCGTCAACCGGAAAATTCACACCGCTATGCAATATGGGAATTTTGATTTAAGTTGGCAGCTAAAGAAGGAGGAGTTCCGGATGTTAATTGATGTTAAATGATGTAAACTGATGTTAATTGACGTTAATTAATTATTATCGGATTTGTGTTAATTGAACACACGTGTTTAGTAAGACAATTACAAGACAGTTGCGCAGACTCATTATCCTGATCGCCGCCGATTGGCTCTCTCTCACAGAGAGCAGACGACGCGGCCAATGATCATAAGGAGTTCAAGCCCTCGTGTGGGAGAAAATCGGACACGGAAAGGGCTTGAATTATTCGAGTTAGCAAATATTTAGAAAATTCTCATGAAGTAATTGTCGTTGGAACAATTGGTGATTGATAGTCCGCTTACTTTTTAAATTGATTGAATATTTGAACAAACAATAGTACATTATAGCCCCTCTGTTGGCTTAATTTTGATAATGGTGTCACCGTGATGATGATGAATGGTTAAGAGACAATTGAAATGCACATTCAGGATAAGAATATGTATATAAAGCCTGCATGCTTTGTACTGGTCAGACTTTTATTGTGCTAGTTCACAAGGTAACAGCAAATACCATTTTTCAAGTCTTTTAATTGTTTGACAATTGGCTGGTGATGAAAACTCCCGACCTCCTGCATTCCAGGCTGAATTTGAAGAAATTTTCATAAAAAAGCAATTATAAGTAGTCAGCAATGAATAGTATGGCAATAATGTTTTTCATTACATTGTGAAATTTTGTTTTTTAAAAGTTAAGGATTGTCTCTGCAACAATACAGAAAAAAAGTGATAAATGTAACCTCAATGATCAATAAAGCCTAAGTAGAAACTATTGTAATTTAAAATATTACAGTCTCAAGGAATACATTTTTTTAAACAAAAATTTTAAGAATTTACTTACATATGAATTTCACATTTTGACACTTATCCAGATTTATATATTATAACAAATACATAATCCAACAAGATCATGCAGTAATATAGCGCTCTTTTGAAATTGTGTTTAAAATCATTCAAGCCAAGTTCTCAAATGAAATGTCGCCACGATTCAGTAGTTCTAAAGAACAATTAGCATAACATGTAAAATAAATAAACAACGCTATCATAAAATCAGTGTTAGAGGGGTACAAATATATTTGTTTGTAAATAGCTATTTGTTTCTTTAATTGAAATAATATTGTAGATAAAAATTTAAAGGTCGTATTTGGACACTTGTATTTTTTATGTGAATTTTTAAATTAATAAACTTGTTCATTGTTTCTTTTTTCATAGACTTCAGTTTAATTAAAACATACATGACATATTCTTTAGTGTTTTTTTTTTTTTTTTTTTGGGAGGGGGGGGGGGGGAGGGGAGGGAAATGAAATTTAGGAAAATATCTTGTTTATTATAGTGCTTAAAGATTTAGGTTTTGAACTATAAGCATGATAAGCGAAAATGATTTGAATTTTAGTTTATCTTAAGAATTCTAAACACCTCCAAAGGTGACAATTTTAATATTGAAAGTGATTGTTCTTTTCTATCAATAGTTATTTTACGGTTATGAGACAAAAGCTAAACAATGTAAAAAGTGATAATGGTTTACACTTACCTAAATAAGTTTATTGCTTTAAATATTCCTTAAAAAAGTTGACAAAAGTTCACCCTACCTCAGTGCACAAGTGTCCAACAAATCAGCTTGTCTAGTTCCTTCTATTGTGTGTGTTTATTAAGGGGTGTATTTGTTGAAACGTTTTTATAGAATGGTATTTAAAGGTCCTGCATGTGTATTGTTAGATAAACCGATTAGTAGGTCGTTGGTCCATTTCTTAAAAGAGTGTTAGCGAAAAAAAGAAGTAATTGTTTAATAAATGTAGGTCAATGTATTTCTTTTATTACAAATTAATGTAAATAAATATTGGTAAAGTGTATTATTAAAACCAAATAGAGACTAAAAGTAGCTGCACATTTCCAAAGATATTTTTCTATCGATAATTTATATATATAGTAAAAGGTATATTTAAAAGAAATGAAGATGAAGATAATTAAAGAAAAAAGTAATCAGATTACCATTTCAGTATAAAAAAGTACAAATTGAATTCTTCTGAATTATTTGATGAAATAGAAATAAAAGAATGAAACCAATTTTTTTCATGATGTGATAACTAAAATATGCCTTGATTTAACCAATTTTCCCTGTACATTAATTTTTGGAACCATATCAGCATGAAAATAGGCAGTAGATCAGTTGCACTGTTAGGAGCAATAGTTGAATTCCCCAATAAATTATCAGAATTTTTGTGAGGATATTTATTTTCTTTCTACATTTTGATTTTCCAAAAACATTAATTTAAGTTCTATAGGATAGGTACTCAGTCCTTTTTCCCATACTCGATCTCATATTACGTTCAGCAATCATGAGATAACATCAGAAATCTATACAAAGTTGAGATCAATACAATATTGTATGCATGAAACTATCAACTTGTGGGTAATGACACCTAACCATTGGTTTTCATCAGGCATGAGGGAGAGGTGGTCAAATAGAAAATATCATCACATGTTTTAAGTAGAAATCTATTTAAATCATTCCATTGCTTATTATTTGCTTGTGTGAAAAAATAGGCTGCAACTCATCACACTAAAAATCTTAAGAGAAAAAAATACTTGTTAGTTGTGAACATTTCAGTATAACTTAAAACCATTTGTTGTCGTAAGATTTTCTTTGAAAAGAGCCCCAGATGCATAGAAAAATGTCATGTGAAGCAATATTTTCAACCTCCACATTGAAACAACAGCTATCACTTGAAATCTCCTGTTCGAGACATGTATCAGTCAGACTTTAATGTTAACAAGCCTTTACAGACCATTTACAACAACTTATCAAGATAGACCCCGGGCCAGTCTCTGATCGATCTATTGATACCTTTCTGATTAAACAATCCATTAAAGACCTATGGTATATATATATATATATGTTTATATGACTCGAGGTAATTTTTATGTAATGTCTCAGATTTTAAACAGTGATATTGATAATAATGTATGTTCTATGTGAACTACTTTGAACTTATAAGTACATCAAAGTCAATTTATCTAATTTTTGTGAGTACCAATTTTCTTGGATTGAGGAAAAATTATATATTCGTGGTTATTTGATTTAATGGTTTTGCCAAAGTCTGCATACTATAGGCTAAAATGTTACATACTCCATTTACTTATTTATATATGGAGAAATATTCCGTTAACTTTTAAAGTAATTGTTGAAGCAGAACTGTAAACTGTGCTCCTCAATAAACATGATAGATTACAAATCCCCAAAATATTTACAAAATGTTGTTTACCCAGTATTACCGCGAAAGGAAATATACATACTGTGGATTCATTAATATTCGTTGGATACTAATTTTCGTGGATTTCGTGGGAACAGGGGAACCACGAATTTAAATGTGCAACGAATTACGAATTTTCTAAAGGAATTATGCAGACTTTTCCAAAACCACGAAATTTAATACCCACGAAAATGCAAGTTTTCTTCAAACCACGAAAATTGGTACCCACGAAAATAAATGAATCCACAGTATTAAGTATTGAAGTAGTATTTACCATCCTTCACACATGATTTGTATTCAGAACATTTTCTCA